AAAAGGACTGGATAGTGAAGGGAAAAGGAAACGGTAGAGGATATAGTAGGGGGAAAAAAAACGGCAAAAGGACTCACTTTTTTGCCATTTTATTGCATGGGGCCCCTTCTTTTTAAACCTGTCCCCCTTAGTTACTGAACCCCCTTTCACATCTCTATCCCCCAAAAATAAATGTCGCCCCTTTTTAAATCTGTCCTGGAGCAAAAATTTCTCCTAAAAAGTGAACTTCGTATATGGAATTCTTTCCGTCGAGACGATGAGGGGTCAACTGACGTATTGTCCAACAATCTTATTTTAAAGGTGGCGACTGAGAGAGCGAGCCCATTAGATTGAATGGATAAAGGCAAAAAGACTGGAAAATACCTGAATAATGTGAGTGAAATCATTCGATAAATGGTTTTAAGAAAACGGAAAGGTCAAGGATCATGTTCGTGTGCAAAAGAAATTGCGCCCACGATGATAAGTGGGTGCGCTGAAAATATTCAGTACGCCGACACGAAACTGCACATACGGATGTGTGGCTAAGGATAGATTGGGAGTGAGAGTCCGTGCCACACTAGTCGGGCTAGGCTAGGTCATGAGGGTAGCCTAGGCCTGTTCTGAAATTACTCCAAATTCGGAAATATTTCACAGAAACAGGAAGCAAACATTACCTTTCAGGTATGTTCCTTTTTCTACTCTTGTTGGGCATAATTAGAATGCACCTTCTGACACCGTACTACTGCTGGTATTACACTATCACTATGAGGGCTGACCCGCATGTAAACGTTGACGTGATTAGCATCAATCTGCATCGCACTCGTACGATACGCGATCGAACGTACGTGTATAGCTGAATAGCTATTGTAGACTGGTACCACTGTACCAAATGGAGATAATCATGACTGGGGTATAGGAAAACTGCGTGATCTTGACTGGTACCCGCCACTTCTATGGTGGCTCTGAGAAGACATTGCCATTCGTCAATATTGACAAAATTCACGTCCGAAATTCAAGAGTAATTGCCACAAGTCGACTAGCTAAAGACTATCTTACGACTTGTCATCAAGTCTAATCTGGAGAGGAGGTTAGTCTTTGTGCAACTTCGTTCTCATGGGTACGGTCATGGCGCTCCATCGTGGTTTCCACTATGCCTTGCGCAAACTAGTGAAGGAATGCGCACGCAGCAAATGGAGTCGAGGTTGGTCTTTACCCAGCTAGTTCGCCGGGTACAGCCCACTGATTCAAGCCCCATTGAAAACAGTGTAAAATCAGCACTGTTCAGGGCCCATTAACAAACACAACATCCTTGAGGTTTCTGAAACTCAAATTAACTTGTTGTCCGGTTCCTAATCTTTCAACTTCTTTTCAATTTTTATGGGTGAGGCCTATCACATTTTCAATTGTCTCCACAAAACAAAATCACAAAAACAAAATCAAGTAATTTTTCCAATGTGTGATTTCAGCCATTTTTCAAGAGGCAACCCTCAAATTTCTCAAGCGCTTAGGATCATATTTCAACCGTATTCTTTGTCATTCTGCTCTCGTAAGCCCAAAGACGCGGGGAGTAGATTCTGGCAACGATTTACGCAATCTCATAATGTTGGGGGCCAAATAGTCTCCTTTTTCAAAAGATGTGGGGGGCACTTTTAATGCTGATGAGTTGGCCAGAAATTCGTATAGACTGCACCCTTGAAGCTCTTTTCCTGTTGAAATGTCGGACTTCCCTTTGGACAAAAAATTTCCAGACCAACTATTATATCCTTCATTCAAGTCGGAATTCTCCGACTCCCAGCAGGGGACAAAACGCTAAGAAAACTCAACTTGAATAAATGCTATAAACGTGGCTCTTGGAGATTTTTTTTTTCAAGGGGAAGTGAAGTCCAGCATTTTAACGGGGGAAGGTTCCACAATGCGTAAAGACGTCTGTCCACTAAGACAGCCCCCTCCCCCCCAAAAAACCTCATTGGAAAGTACATGGTGTGTCCTGAGAAAGTTGTATATTAAAACGATTGTCCACAATATTACTCAAACTGAAGCTTGAGTCCGGCATAGGTATTTCTTTGGGTGGTTCAGTACAAACCACCTAATGCACAATGTCTATCGCATGCAATTGCCCTGTGGTGCCATCAAGTGAAAAAAAAAAGTGAAGTATACTTTTTTCCAATTTCGTTTCGTTAAGTACTTTTTATCATCTTCGTTTTTACGCCCCTAGGGACCTCCTTTCGTCCAGGCGCCAGTGCAATTGTCTCCTTTTTATTTCCACAAATGCTAGGATTTGATGATGCCTTCGATTCGTCTATATGCTTTGGATAGAAGTCATTGCTGAAACAATTAGGCCTGCTCAGTGTTAACTCTTCCAAAATTCAAATCAGTGACGTATTACTTTGCGGGCAAAAAAAGCAGTAGGGCCTACATGTAGCTAATGTATCAAAATATCTTTTAAACTGAATTTTAAACAGAAATTTGTTTATGTATTAGGCCTATGTAAGTATCCACTATACTCTGGATCGCATAAAGATATCCAGGCTCTCCTTTTTGGTGTATATTTTTATGAAATGCATTTTTTTCTACATTTAGGCCTAATAACATTTTCCTCACAAATGTTTGCGCTGTTGCTGTGGAGCCTATGTTTCGATTGTCGCCTGGCAGTCTGTCTGCAGTTTCTTGTAAATAGTTATGAACCCTACCATGACGCCTCTCAGTTACATTTTGCGTAGGTTTACCCACTGTCCGACTTTTATAGAAACACAGAGCTAAACATGCTGTCACATATTGATAACTTTTATACTGCAACCACAGTGCTTCTATAATATTACATTACTGATCTTATGAACATTTTGTATCACCAAAGACACTTTGAACATCTAACGAAAGAAGTACAGTGCAATAACAATTGACACTCAGTGTTAGTGCACTGTGTTTCTTTATATGTTCGTAGTGAGAGGGGCCGCCGAAACAATCGTCACGGCGAGAAAACAGAGATTGTGATCAGGGGCAAATTGTATTCAAGAGTGCATATGAAGCAGAGCATCGGAAAGTTGTACATGTAGTATTGACCATTTAAACTGACCTCTGTTATGTAATGCTGCAGTAGGTACATGTACATGTACTACGAAGATCGTGTCTGTCTTGCAACCATTTTAGTTATCGGTGTACTCACATTTTGGCAACATTTCTCTTGAGACCAGTTGGTTTCCGAATGGCACGGGTAATGGTCAAGTATTTTGCAGGCGAGATTGAATGATTATTTTTGACATGTACCTAAATGAGACAAAGAAAACCAAGACTAAGTTTGTAACTAACAATTATAAGGTCATTGCTCCTTTCAGAATTACAAATGAACATCTACTTAACTGGAATAATTCAGTAAAATATCCATTTCTTTCGTTCGCCCTACTTTGTCAACAATTGTCATGCATGCATTAAAAATTACCAGCCTACCTGGTGAATCTCAATTGATAAACCGTGCATGATGGTAAATTTAAAGCAATTTCCGTTTGATTATTCATTGTGAATTTCGTCATCGGATGAGGAATTATACTCGAGGCAGAGACAAAATTAATATAATTTCCTCCTTGACAGAAAAGCAAATGAATGTAAAATCGCGGGGAATTGTGGCTCACCCTGGCCGGTACAATTAGCACATGATTGTCAGACGCTGCATGCACAAGACAGGTCCTGTATTCGTAGATAACTTGCCCCTAAGGGTCTTCTGCAACCTTCATTCAATTTAAACCTCTTCTGGTTGATGTGATTGAAAAATGGCGGTAAGACGTCTGAGAACAATCATTTTAAGCCCAAGGCCAAGACTTCCAAAGTGTCATTCGTAGTCTGAAACAGCATTGAAAAAGCTACCGCAACGCACTGCATCATTTGCCGAAGGACTTGTAAATTGACTAAAATATCAACACGAGGGAATCTTTGTGATTTTTTTTATAATTTGATGGAAAATAATCTTCTTTATACATGTACTCCCCTCTTGGTGTAGAATATATGTTGAAATAAATAACGTATGTTTCTTTTCAGAATTGAAAACTTTACTAGATAGCCAAAAAAATGGCAAATTACACGACATTCTTTTTGAGCTCCGCTGTCGCCAAAAATGTTAGAACAGGCTTATTCAGATTTGACTTGTTTCATGACATGAACTGCCCCTCCCCCGATGTATAACGTCGCTGGGCTGATAGCATCGCCCGTCATGCGAATTCTTAACTACGATCATGTGCCAGCGGAATACTCGAAATCTTAATACATAAGTGTGCATGTTCATATACATGTACATGTACAGACATACGAAGCCCATGCACACGGTAAAAGCTTGCATGCGACCCATATATAAATCGTACCCTTTCGTGTTTTGTGAAAGCTCCTCATCTTCGTATGGAATTCCATATCTGCCGTCGCCCGTCGTCCGTCGCATTTTGCTTTTTGTTGTGTGCAAATTCTGCCATTTACCAGTTCCAAAAATGCCATTTTCCGTCGTGCGTGGCCCGTCGTGCGTCGTCCGTCGTGCGTGGCCCGTCGTCCGTCGTGCGTCGCCCGTGTTTTTTTTTGTTGTCACGATTGCGCGGTGGTATTTTTAACTTTGACCCTTGATCGTTTCACATGTACATGTACATCAAATGGGTTGCATAGGACCTGCAAAAGCCTGGGATTAATAAATGACAATGTGATGATTCCATTCACTTCTAAAGATCTTTTCCGAATAAGGCAAGTACAAATCCCACCTGCAAAGCATATACTAGTCACATAATTAATTCCAATAATGCTAGACTACCACTGCCCCTTGACAAGAAAATATCGCCTCTCTGAGAATTCAACCAAGTGTTTTTCACCTTGAAATCCAGAAATACTAGACAGTGCTGTGGATAACAAACTGTTTATTAAATATATTGTTAGGGGCAATTACCACTTGGTTTAAGTTTAAGAAAATATGACGTGTTTGTTTTTGTGGGTGTGTATGCCATGGTGGATAGACCAATCAGAACAGGTTGTGCAGCACATCAGCATTATTTATGGGGCTAACAAGTAAAGTTACTGCTTAAAAGACTTCTGTGAGCCAACCTATACAGCAAATTTCATCATAGGTATACCCGCCCTCAAAATAATGCTGAATCAGTTCGTCTCTTATGAAAACTATTAAGGAATCAAACATTGTAAATAATTTATTANAACAAAAGTCTATTTTGTTAATAATTACATAAATAATTATGTAACCAAAATGGTATTATTTCATATAAACGTTACTTAACCGACATCAGGATATTATTTCTTCTTTCAATTGGAGTTTGGCGCAACTGCAAAAACGAATACATGTACATCTTCTAGTTCTATTGCTAAAATGAGAGTCAGGCATGGTGGATCGATCGAACAAGGATATGTACATGTGAAGCGATCAAAGTTAAAAATACCAGTGCGCAATCGTGACAAAAAAAACACGGGCGACGCACGACGGGCGACGCACGACGGGCGACGCGCGACGCACGACGCACGACGGCAGATATGGAATTCCATATCTTATGGTGTACTATTTACGACAAACATTTCTCTCTCTCTTTAGCCTCCCTCCAGGCGACGCGACCAGACGACGCGACGGCACGACGGCTCCCTTGCGTCGTGCCGTCGGGTCGCACCTTTGCCTTCTTGCCATTACTTTTGTACACACACGACGCGTCGCGTCGTGCGTCGCGTCGTGCCGTCGCCCGTCGCGTCGTGCTACTTTAGGTATTTTCCATGTTGCATTTTTTGCCGCCTAAACGTTCGCCCCTTCCGTCGCCCGTCGCGTCGTGCTGTCGTGCGTCGCGTCGTGCATTGTGTCGTGCATCGCGTCGCCTGAAGCACGACGCGACGCACGACACGAC